GAGAGAGAGAGAGAGAGAGAGAGAGAGAGAGAGAGAGAGAGAGAGAGAGAGAGAGAGAGAGAGAGAGAGAGAGAGAGAGGAGGGGCTTTTTTTGACCCCCAATCACAAAAATCTCAACCTGTGGAGCATGAGAGGTGGAGGAGGAATGTTTGACTGCCGTGGCCCTAAACTATAGGCTGGCTATTGTGGGTCTGGATTGTACAGTGGGTGAAAACTCCTGCCGAACTATGGATCTTATAACCTGAGGAACCATGTGCTCCCTTTTCTTTCTGGGGTACAGGCAATCGTGCTATGTGGTTCTTTTTGTTATCTGTTCGAGGGTTTTCTTCTCATGCCATGGAAGGTTACGGGGGGAAGGAAATGAAGAATCCAGGCAAACGGGACCTCACTGCTTGTAGCTGGTCGAGCAATTCAGCACGATTCAGAGATAACCCTTGTTTGAACTAAGCAGAAAATCAGGAGCTCTGTCCTTCGGGGCATCCTCTAAAATTGGAACGATACAGAGAAGATTAGCATGGCCCCTGCGCGGATGACACGAATAAATCGAGAAATGGTCCAAAAGACTCCAAATTTAATTAAAAAAAAAAAAAGAGGAGCTCGACTGCATACCATACCTGCGGCTCACAGCGCTTGATGTGGACTGAGGTGCGAGCCTCTCGAGAACTTATCAGTTGCTCTAATTCCAAAACAACTGATTCACTTTTGCTTCAAGACTACCGGTAGCCCTGAAAGTTTTGCCAAGTGTTTTTTGACCAGTACACATACGCTCTGCACACCTGTGCCATTTGCTGTCTGCTGTCTGCCAGTGTCTGGAGTGCGGTGCAATGTGGTGGTTGGCAATGTGCCGTGCGATGTGCGTGCCACTGCGTGGTGTGCGCAGTGTGTGGTGTGTGGCCTTGTGTGTGTGTGCTGTATGGGAAGGCAGAGTGCAGTATGCTTTACAGACAACAACAAATGTACAATAACAGAAAAGCAAGTTCAAACTTCAAACCATCTCTACAACTGTGAAGAATAGAAGAGAAGAGCAAAAGCAGGAAGAATTGGGACCGAGATTAAAAAAGAGTTACCTTGCTGCCTCACTCTTGAACCCATGTGCACCTGCCAAAAACAAGCAACCTAGTCGGCCATTCCGCCACCACGGGTCCACCTAAGCCCCCACCCAACCCCTTCCCATGCATACATCCTAAACTCTCCAAAAAAAGGAATGCAAGACACGTACCTCCACAATCTCCACGCTCTCCACCAATCTATCCACCTCAACATTCCCCTCCCTCTCTCTCCTATCTATCTATCCTCCCTCTCTTCTCCCGTTGTCTATACCTTTCCTCCTATCCCTTTCCCTCTCTCTTACCTTTGTCCACCTCTCCCCACCTTGCCGTTCCCTGCCATGTCGTTCTCAGTTCCCCCTAATGTGATCACACTTCCCCTCTTTTTATTTATAGCTATCCTGATAACCATCTATCTATCTCTCTATCTGTCTGTCTGTCTGTCTGTCTGTCTGTCTGTCTGTCTGTCTGTCTGTCTGTCTGTCTGTCTGTCTGTCAGTCAGTCGTCCGCCTGTGGGTTAATCGGTCAGTGGTGTCAATTGGTCGATCGGGTCGGGTCCACCTGTCCATNTGTCTGTCTGTCTGTCAGTCAGTCGTCCGCCTGTGGGTTAATCGGTCAGTGGTGTCAATTGGTCGATCGGGTCGGGTCCACCTGTCCATTCGTCCATCTGTCTGGGAATGCAACACCAAGTTCATGATGGTAGAGGCCACTTGCCAGAAAGTTTGCTTTGGAAGTAAGTAGGTAATGGATCACTGAGCAACTGTAACTGCCATCATTGCGCTCGGTCTGAGGGCACACTGACATAGGAGTCATATGGCACTCATCCTTTGACCATGAATCAGACTGAGATAAAATGCCTTTTGAATCTGTAAAAGGTTTAATTTAAGATGTGATTGATCTGTCCGTATGGTGGGCAGGTAGGGAGGTTGCACCTCCCAGTATGTTGCCCCTTATTGTAGGCCCTTAGGCGCTTAGGGGCAATTTTTTTTTCCTAACCGTCCTTTGCTGAGCAGATTCAAATAAGATCCCCATTATTTCCTTAAGGCCCCCTAAGGCGGGGACTGAACCCATTAGGGTTTAGGGTTTAGGGTAAGAAGGTAGGTGTGTGTTCCAAGGGTTGTCTGGCGATCGACACTGGCCTTCAGGAGGTCATGTGGCCAAAATCTGGATCAGGCTATTTCTCCCGCAAGCTCGAGTATAATGTCCATTATTGCCTATAGGGCCTAGGCGTTATATTCCACGGAAGATGGTAGGCAGGTATCCAAGGGGATGTGTGAGGATGCCACCACTTATGGCAGGCAGGTAGGGTGGTTGTGCTACACCTAGCGTAATTGCCTACTTGCAGCGCAAACTGTTTGCTATTATGTGTTTGCTCGCGGCGGGGCTCGAACGCACAACCCCCTGAGGGGTGTGAAGCTGTGAACCTATGAGCTCTCTGGGATATCACAGCGTTCGATTTCCCTTTTTTCAAAACTGCACTGTATTCTTCTCTCAAATTCTTTTTTCACCTTTCACTACCTCCCTACCACTACTCCTAAGGCTATATCGAGGGACCCCTGAAAGCATAGGCCCTCACAAACTTAGAGGTATTCATGTTGCCCCCCGCCCCGACAGCGATGAAAAGGGAGGTGCAGCTACTGGCAAAATGCTCGGTCTTTGCGTTAGCCGGACCCTCACCGACGGCCCCACAGCGCTCGATTTGAAAATTTCACTAGAAAAAAAAAAAAAAGCAAAGAAGAAAATTCATTTCTTGACATCCTGCTACCTTGTGGTGGTGGCCCGAGGGTCCCAGATCCGTCCTCTTGCTGCTGAGGCTCCAATGCCGCTCCATCCATTGCTGGGGGAGCTACAGCCACTGGCAACTGTGGTCACCATCCCACCTATCTGTCGTGAGGGTCTTACTTAGACGTACCTTGCACCCTGACAAAAATGTGCAGGTGCGCTGAAAAGAGTGTACAAGAATGTGCAAAGGTGGGGAACCCTTCACTAAAACTGCAAAACTGTGAAGAATGCAGTAAAAGACTAAAAGTCTAAAAGAAGAACATAAGTTTGTGTCATTTTACTTTGTTTGTACCCTGCACGCTAACATCCTCAAAAGAAAAGTCCGAAGGGTGAAAATGAGGATGAAAAATGGAGGAGGAGGTGCAGGTGCGCTGAAAAGCGAACGTGGTAGACTCTTCACCAAAACTGCAAAACTGTGAAAGAAAGAAGAATGCAGTAAAAGAAAGAAGATGTTTGTGTCAACACTTTTGATTTTTTCTCCCTCTGCCTATTGGTTTTCCTTTTCTGCTCCTCTCTTCCTTGTGTTTAACACCTCTTCCTTCACTCTGCCTCTTTCCCATAGCGTGCAAGTGGGCTGTTATGGCATACGGGGATGGGGGCAGCTCACGCTCAACTTCATCAACGTGGCGAGCCTTGTACGTTAGAGGCACAGTGGAGGAGGTGTTAAGAAGACTGAGAAACTGAATGATTTCAATGTGTCTTTGTTTTTTATTTTTATCCTTTGATTCAGTGTAATTTTTTTTGTAAAACACTGAAAGAAATAATAATAATGTGAAACAAAGAATTGCAATCAGACTCGCTTTCTTTTCCCCTTCACACTCATGCAAACAGATGGTGGATCACACTGGCGCACAGCGCCCACTCAAAGCTCAAAGATATGGAAGTCAAAACCACAGTTCAGATACAAGCTCACTCCAACAGGCTATGGCGCATCAGCGCCTGTACACCCCAACTCTCGTCTCTCTGTTCAACACCACTGTTCGCACTCACTCAACTCCGGATCACCCTGGATATCCCACACGCAAACACACACTCCCGTACTCACACACTCGCCTATCAGCTATGGCGACTATGGCCGCTGTCCCTCTCCCAGCTATGCCTAACTATCTCCTTCGGCCCACTTCGTCTTCGGGCGCTCTGCAGACCACCTCACACAAGTTGCTCAGACAGCGCTTCCGCATGGCTTACGCAGGAATGAATGAATGGCTGGGCACTGCCTCTTGATTTATACTTTTGTAACTCGTTGGTCTGCCCCTTTCCCATGCCCCTGGTGCACACAGTCCCACACGGTACTTGCTTGACTGGACTGTGACTGACTGGGACTGGTACCGCTGACTGCATGGGTTTGCACTGCCAACTCGATGCAGTCGCACTGCC